AAATTTTATAAAATTGAAATAACCACCTAAAATTAATTAATAAAAAAATGCTTATGTAGATGTTGGTTAAGAGTAGATCCACAATGGTAACAACCCTGCATCTATTTTAGTAATAAAATGCACTATAATATTGATACAGTTAGGCATAAATTACACAATCAGTAGTTTTATTTATTATGTGAAGCTTCAGTTTAAAAAATATATAATTTTGATCACACATAAGTTTAAATCTTCATGTGTACAAACCTAAATAAAGTTTATCATGTACAGTCTGAGCCTCCATGGCTAAAGAAATCAAGAGTGGAGCGCCACCCAACAAAGTCAATCAAATAACTAGACAACACAGATGAGAAAAAACAGCACAACAGTGAGCCCACAGCAACAGTCACGAGACCAAAGAAACTGGAAACTAAGACACAATTTAACCAACTCTCCTTCAAATAGTTGTTTCTATTTCAGTTTAGTGAACAGTGTTTTCAGAATCAAAAAACCGAATTCCAGCATAGAGCGGCTGAGTGAATGTGGTCTGGACTCTGTGGAGGAGAGTCATGGTTTCAGAGACGCTGTAGAAAGACAGAATACCTGCTCTGTGATCCAGGTACACTCCTACTCTGGAGGACCGAGGACCTGAGAGGTCAGTTTGGACTTTGTTACACATTTTTCCACAACAGTCTGTATAGCAATGAAGTGCCCATGATTTGTCATTGTATCTAAATTCGTTCCCTAATATACCTTGATGGAACTGCTACTTCAACCTCTCCCCCTCTCCACTCCACCAGTAACAACGTCCAGTCAGACTCTCTACTCTCTACTTTTCTGTTCCCCTCAGATAAAAACAGATATCTGTGTGCTGTGTTTGGATCCAGTATGATTTCATGTGAATATTTTAAGAATCCATTGTGTTCGTCTACATTTTTGTCTTTCAATGCCACGTTTTAATCTTAGCATTTGTTGCTGTTTTCTTATTTCCTGTCCTATTTTGAATGTCTTGTGTTACCTGTGCTTTGTATGTAGTTCTTTTCTGGTCTTCTGGGATTAGTTAGCTGTCCTCCCTTTTACCTTTGCCCTCGTTATCTGCCTGCATATATATATTGTCTGAGCTAAAACAGTACTCATCTCTCAAAAAAATTTAAACTTTAAATTTACCTGAGAATCGAGGATCTTAGACTGACGACTTGGGGACTTGCAGTAATTGTTCAAAGCTGACGTATCACCACTTTCCATTTTTGTTCTGTTGGCTGGAGGAAGAAAATTTGTTTCCATTTTGTGCATATTAAAGATAATAATGATGTTCAAAAATATTTGGGCAAACTGTCTTTTATATTACAGGAGACCATTTTCGTAACTGTGGCACCAACTCTAACATTTTTACCATCTTCAAACTGAGCTGTCATTTGTTTTTCAGGTTAAACACACACGGTCCACTTCCAATCATTTTTTGTATGTGAAAGGCTGATAACTCCTCCCTCTTATTCCTAAACCACAGCAGCTCCAGACTAAATGTATTTCCTGGTTCCCTCCCCTTTAGATCTACAGTTTGAAGATGGGTGTAACCAACATGTGGTGACGTGTAAGAGCTGACAGGCTCCATTCACTGCAGGAACGTGTTGTTGAGATCAGCGCTCAGACTAGTTTCGGTTATAAGGAAGAGAAACTCACACAGTCACTGACACGGAGAGGAGAAATGGCGGACAAAGGAATTCAGCTGGCGGGTGAAACAATTTCTTGTTCCATCTGCTTGGATTTCCTGAAAGATCCGGTGACTATTCCCTGTGGACACAGCTACTGCAGGAACTGTATTAAAAGTTTCTGGGATGAAGAGGACAGGAAGGGAATCCACAGCTGCCCTCAGTGCAGGAAGACTTTCACACCGAGGCCTGTCCTGGAGAAAAACATCATGTTAGCAGCTTTAGTGGAGCAGCTGAAGAAGACTG